CAACTTAACGTTTAGGTTCAGTGTGCCTCTAACCATTCGGTGATCGCTACCAGTTTTCACCCTCGCGATCACGGAGACATCACTGAACAGTTGTCGTCTGGTCGTCATAATGAAGTCAATCTCATTTTTTGTGGAACCGTCGGGGCTCGACCAGGTCCACTTCCTGTGGGGCCGCTTCTGGAAGAAAGAGTTCATCATAAAGAGTCCCTCTTTCTCCATGAAGTCGGCCAGCTGCTGGCCCCTTGGGTTCCGTTGCCCTATTCCAAATTTCCCTACTTTCAGCTCACCGTTCTCTCTTGTGCCTAGTTTTGCATTGAAGTCTCCCATTAACACCGTATATTGGGTTTTGGAGGAATGCATGGCTCTAGAGATATCCTCATACATTTCCTCCACCTCCTCATCGGGGTGTGCCGAGGTTGGTGCGTAAACCTGTATGACCTTCAGCGAATACCGTTTGGTGATTCTGAGTATAAGGTACGCAACCCTCGTCGACACACTCCCGATTTTTACAACGTTGTTAACGAGAGACTTGTGGACGATAAATCCGACACCTCCTTGGGACAGATGGTCGCCCTCCCGGTGATAGAGCAAGTTGCCGGATTCGAGGATTACCGTGTCCTCCCCCTCTCTTCGGACTTCAGATAATCCTATAATATGCCAGCGCAACTTGTCTATCTCTTCTTCCAGCTCCACGATCTTCTCGTCAGTCCTCAGGGTGCGTGCGTTGTACGTTGCCAGGTCGAGTCGTCTAAGGTGGCAACCGAACCTCCACCGGAGATTCTTAGCACCCCCTGCCCCGCCGTTACCATGGTCGCCACCGTAGCCAGGAATAGCGGGGCCGCCGGGGACTGGGGGCCGTCCCCGGCGGCCCCGCTATTCCTGGCTACGTCCCCCGTCCCAAATTTTATTGTACACAGAAGAAAATTTTCTAACTCGTGTATGGATTCATGCCAAAATATTATTCTTAAATTTTCCAGGTCACCTAGATTTTTGCTATTATCTTTGCTAGATTCATTCGAAAGTCATACTAAAGTAATTGATGTTGCAAATGAAATAAAGTTTAATTTTGCTTGCGTGACTAGATTAATCGTTTAGGATTACTACGTTGTAAGAAATGTCAACTGTGCCGTTTTTTACTCGTCTAATAATAATTAAGCTTGTATCTTTTTGTTTGATTGACGTTACTAGGTCTAGGTCGAGACTCGGAGAGTCACTCTGCATCACTCTTGTGATTCAAATCTGTTTTGTATGATCAACACCAAAATACGTTTAAGAATGTTAACGGTTTTATGACATCTATTTCTTTAATAGAATCAGGCGTTACTTTGCGGAAATCCATTATATAAAAGAGTATATCTAAACCATTCTCTAATCAAGTGAATCGGACACACAAAATGTCATTAAAATTGGTCCAGCCGTTTAGGAGGAAGTCAGTCACATACACACTGACTGAAGAATTATATAATAATATATAATATGCATGTATTATACATATAAATTATCCTCTTGAATTATCCTGTCTATTGATGAAAATCGCATCAAAATCCGTTGCGTAGTTTAAAAAACAGACGGCGGGAAGCGACTTTGTTTCATACTATGTAGATATAAAAATTGGCTCAGATGCGCACAATAAAATATAATGATGTGTCTTACATAGTTTGAAGGCACCTCCCGCCCTCCCTCAATAACGTGCACTATCCCCTTCACCACTGATTCCAGCACCAATGCTAGTGTAGTGGTGTTGAGAGTGGTGCTGTGTTTTACGCCGATTTTAGCTAATTAACTTTCAACATCTTTTTTTCTTTGCACTGAACTGTTGTAAACTGTACGGCTGGGAGGATGTTACATGTTACCTTACAATATAATGTTTCATTTTTATTAAACCCTTTCAGACTCGATTTATATAAATACGTTAATTTTATACAGATAGCAGGTGCTCACAACACGACTGATTTGAAATTAAACACTGGACATATTTTTTGTCATAAAATTTAAAATCAAAATTCCTTCTACTTGTGGCGCCAACTATTGTCTAAACATAGCTTTCAATCAGTGAAAGAATTTTTGGATCAGCAGTTTCAGAAGTTTCCTCTTGCAAAAAACTTACTTACATTTTTATATTACAGCCGATTTATAATTCCCTGCTAAATATAGGTTGGATATTTGCCACAGCTGCCACGCTTGGCAGGCGGGTTGTTAACCGCAGTTTTTAATGTTATTATTGAGTTATTGTTAGGGGGACGCTGCTGCCTCTTACAAAACCCATGGAACGATATGGGGTGGCCCAAAAAGTGTGTGGCAGCACAAAAAGTAACATAATTACAAATTATTTCACCTCTTTATGAAACAAAACAATATCTACTACATGGAAAGGAATTTTAGAAACAAGTTGATAAGGGTAAATTATTTAAATAATTGATTAAGTGTAAGTTTAATTAAAAAAAAAAAAAAACTACAAAACCTATACGAATGAAAACTTAATCAGATATTCATTATGCAATGAAGGTCAAATCAAACTGGTTTGAAGATGATCAAGTTTGTTTTCAAGGTATGCGAGATGAAAAAAGTTCGCTAACTACTAATACAAAAAAGTTCACTTTTTGCGTTATATTTGTGCTCTGAGGATTTACGATCTGAGGTGTCAGCAGACGTAGATAGATTGGCAAACTGACGCAGGAAAATGTAGTTGTGGGTGTAAAAGACAATTTGGAATAGAAATTTTTATTCAATGTGATTTATGAAGAACGAAATTTTCTGTGGGTAAACCCAATTTTCCCTTAATGCTAATTCGGAGGATATTTTTATCATGATAGAAACTAGATGTGTTTGTTATTAGTTCAGTAGTAATAGCTTATATGCAGTATTATAGAAATAGCTTATCTTCTTTTTCACCGACTTCAAAAAGGAGACGGTACTCAATTGGACTGTATGTTTTTTTTATGTGTTACCTCATAACTTTTTTCTGGGTGAACCGATTTTTTTGAAGGTCGAGATACACACTAACCATATTTAAAAATAACCAAACACGAATTGGAAACACGAATTTATACAATGGAGAATTTGTCGATCCTTTTTACTCACATTAAATCCTAAGCACCGTTTGTCTCGCTCACATAGCTTAGAATTCGTCCAAACAAGGCGAGCAGATAGTAAAGTAAAATTTTCAAAAGCGACAAATGTACTTACCTAATAAAGATATGCAATGATTAAAAATACTGTCTGTCAATAATTTTGTAATTTTGAAATGAAATGCCTACTTTTAAACATTAACGGCTATAGCTCAGTAAGTAATGACATTAAGTACATGGTATGCTAATGTTTTAGAATCCTTATGATATAGGCAAACTTTTTAAATGGTTGGCCACACAGATCCTATACGTTTTTTTTTCACCACTGGTGCTCAAACTTAGCAGTTAAATAAAGTAAAAATTTAAAATTGTGTTTAGTGCCGTCTTGTAAAATACTACCCATAGTAGTTGAAATCTTTTAAGGGTAATTTAGAAACATCATTATTAGGGAACACATTAAAAGAAAAAAATCCGATCTAGGCATTAAACTGCGGACGTGATGACCACAAATGTGATCAGAAGTACGAATTTTCGGAATTTTTTAAAACATGGCGTAGACCGCGAACCGTTCGGGATAGAATTTTTTTTTAGGGAACTGAGGCCACCTCTCCCCCGCCCGAACACGTACGTACCAGATTATCCACCATTACTGGGACATCCTATATATATATCGGTCGGTTGTACAACATTTTTAATTTTAAATTACTATACACTAGCGATCCGCCCTAGCTTTGCACGGGCGATTTCGCGACCTCGCCAACAGCGATCGAATCTAAACCATCTAGGGACCCATTCAACACACACAAAAAATTTCATGAAACTCCGTTGCATACTAGTTTCACGTTAGTAACACGGTTAGTATATACCCATGTAGTCCCCGTGGACAGAGGCAACAGAGAGAAACTGAAACAGCCAGGCTATTCACAATGCCTCGGAAAATTCTCTCGGAAGCGGGAAGGTTTCGTTCGTCAAATTTTCGATCCGAATATCACAGACTTTGGTATTCATATCTCCTCTCGTTTAGGATCTGATACGAAACGTTTTTCGAATGTCAGTGGGAGTGCATTAAGTGCAAATATTGAAGTGATGAAGATATGGAAATACGTCCTATAGATAATTAATTCATGTTACCTACCTTTTACGATTATACTTAAAAAAAGCTTATTTATCTCTTAATTATCACTTTTAAGTTTTCACCAGCCTCAGAGCTCTTGTAAGGTTTCCCATGCGAACTGTCGCAATTCCCGAAAACGAATGTTAAATTAATCCGAACGGGGGAAGTGAATAAGATAATAATTCTAAATTGTAAATAATTTAAAATTATAAATTTTGTACAGCCGACTTCAATATAAGTTATTAAGAATAACTCAAAAACTATTGGTCTAACCTTGATCAATTCATATGGGACCACACGAGAAGTACCAGCTTTCAAATAAAAAAAGAATTATCGAAATCGGTTCACCCAGTAAAAAGTTATGAGGTAACACACATAAAAGAAACATACAGTCGAATTGAGTACCGCCTCCTTTTTGGATGTCGGCAGAAAAAGTCGTTATCATCAACTCGCCTGCAGTGTGGCAACCATGCCATCATTCCCCTTGGAGGCCTATGTTCAGCAGTGTGGGCTTGTATAGACTGTAATAATGATGAAGACACAGTTGCCTTTCATGTGATTAGCTCTCAATATTGAGTGGTTGAGAGATTTTTAAGATTCGCTCGGTCCACCCTCTCCCCTAGTATTGTTGAAGGACATAGAGATTAGAGAGCTAAGAAGGATTTTAAGTTAGTGTTATTTCATTTATGGCAACTTAGTACTCCTTAGTCTTAGCAGCCATCAAGTATCTATGGGTTTTGGTATCCATTTACCATGTGGTGGACTGCTGTAATGCATTAGTCACGCGTGTTATAATAAATTAAACTTTTTTATTGCAGTGCTTCGATTTCGGCTTGCGGCGACAAAGCGGAAGAGGGTCAGATCAAGCAGTACCATGTGGAACAGCGCTTCGCTGACAGGCGGTACAAAGTGACTAGTGCGCGTACCTACTTCTACCTCAACGAGGCATCGTGTGAGAAGAACATGGAAGCTTTCTTGAGGAGTATTGACGCTGTTGCTGGTATGTTTTACTTTTTAGCAGCTTAATGCAGTATATTTCGTATGGTGAGTGTAGAGAACCGCAGACGCTTTTTACTGGAACCGAGACATTCCATAGTAGTCCTCAGGGGTGATGATTCATCAGCGTTTCGAATCTTAATCGAGGATAAATGTCAATATCTCTGGGCCACAGCACCCACTTACCATCAGGTGGACTGTGTGCTCGTTCGTCATCCTTTTGTATAAAATAACTCCGTTTTTATACGTGCTAGAGCCATGCTGCAGCTATATTAGTAGTATAGTTGTAGCTCGAATGGGTTGGCTCGACCGGGGAAGGACCATGCTCTCACAGAATACCAGCTTAAAATGGCAGCCTGACACTGTTGTGTTTCTTATGGTGAGTGTAAAGAACCGGAGACTCATTTTACTGGAAAAGAGGCAATCCATCTTAGTCCTCACGGGTGACAACACATCTGCATTTTGATTCGCAAACGAGGATAAATGTAGATGTCTATGGGCCACAGTCTATGGACCATCAGGTGGACTGTGTGCTCGTTTGTCACCCTATCCTATATAAAAAAGCTGCAAACTCTATTTAGTTGGAATTGTTGGCTAGTGGGTCAATTAATGTTATAAAAATCTGCTCTGTTTCAGGTATTACAAAGAGCACAGGGCTGATGGCGATCAAGCTGACCGCTTTGGGAAGACCTCAGTTACTTGTTAGTAAATAAATTCACTTTTTACGAGGTACAGCTACGCTATATTCAAAGTCAAAATGATTTTATTTAACTAGCTGTTCCCCGTGACTTCGCCCGGGTGGAATTTATTGCGATTATTTATTCCGTGGAACCCTTATTGTTTTCCTTAAATAAAAGTCGCCTAAGTTACTCCTTATAACGTCAGCTATCTGCCAGTGAAAGTCCCAACCAAATCAGTTAACAGGTTTTTGCGTGACGCGTGTTCAGACAGACGTTGTGTTAGAGTCTGTTTATAGTAATAGATTTAGGCTTGTTTAGTGTCGTGTAGTGGTGTCGTAAGAATATCTATTATTCTATGTACTGTTATTTATTCTGTGCCCATATTATGCCGAAGGTGTCATAAAAGGCGACAAAGAGAAATTGAAACAGAAGATGGGCAGCAGAATTTTTCTGATAACAAGCGAAGATACTAAAAAGCCTATGTTCAGCAGTGTAAACTTTTAATAGACTGTAATGAATGAATTGTAAGTTCTTATAAACGTCTAAATCTTCACCGATTCTTATAAACAAGACCTCAGCGAAAAGGTGTTAAAGTGCAGTGTATCAATGTGGTAGATCAACACTGCGGCTGCACTATTACTGCAAGGCTGATGGGTTGGCTCGAAGGACCATACTCACACAGAATACCAACGTAAAATAGCAGCATAATGTTCCTGTCTGGATAGCTGCTTTTTTTATAAAACCGAAGTGACAAACGAACTTACGATCCACCTGTTGGTAAGTGACTGCTGCAGTCCATGGACATCTGCAGTCAACTTCAAACAAAGAAAGATACAGCTGCGTAGTCACCTCCGAGGACTAAGATGGAATGCCTCACATCCTGTAATACTCATACTGGTTCCCTCGCCGTGCTGTAGCTATATTATCGGATCGGCTCGACAAGCATCGCGCTCTCACAGAATACCAGCGTGAAACAGCTGCTCAATGCTACGTTGTTTTGTATGGTAAGTGTATAGAACCGGGGATCCTTTTTTACTGAAATCTTAGTCCTATGGGGTTACAATGCATCTGCATTTTGGTTCTTAATCGAGGATAAATGTAGATGTCTATAGAATTTAGCATCTACTTACCTCCAAGTGGAGTTACACACTCCACTTTAGAGTCACATATTCCACGTTGGAGTCACACACTCCTTGTCATCTTTATTTAATTTGAAAATAAAAAAGATTAACTATATGATGTCGAAAGCTGTCTCTAACCAGTAATCATCAGTCAACGGTTTGTTCACCTTGCAGCTGCAACTGTCGGAGGTGATCATGCGCGCGCGCAACTACATGCAGCAGATCGCGGGCGGGACGGGCAACGTGCTCACTCACCACAAGACCATCGAGGACTTCCAGCGCTACTTCGGCGACCTCAGCTCCAAGCCCGAGGTGCAGGAGTTCATGCGCAAGATCACCTCGGATAAGGAGGGGTGAGGATACTTCTTTTATATTCTAGTTCTAATCGGGAAGTGGGAGTTTCGGCAGAACTACCATTGTTATTCCTCGTCTCGTTTTTCTCCGAAAAACCGGGATGATTCACATTTGACTGAAGTTTAAATAGTCGGGGGCAATAGTTTCAAACTTATCAATGTTTCATAATAGTATAGATGTTTTACTCCACGAAGTCGGGCGAGCCTTACTCGTAGTTGCAATGTGTACAGAAACTCGGGCTTGTGTGCACGTAGCGTCAGTCAGTTATTTTTTACTCTCTCGTTTACGCACACTAAACAATATTTATGTGCACCCACACTTACAATTAAGACAAACCCGCCATTGTGAGATAAAAATACTATACTTCTACAATACTTTATTCATGATCGGCCTTTAATTATCGTGTTATACGAATAGTGTTTATATAAACTAGTGATGAAACGATTTCGATTACGATTAATCGTAATAGACAGTAATCGTAAAAATAAATTTCACGATTAATCATTGCGATTATCTAACGACTATTAGTTTAGGACTTTTAATTTCAAAAAAATTTATTCCAATTATTAATGTTAAAGTTACAGCCTATATAAGTCCCACAGCTGGGCACAAGCCTCCTCTCATTTCTGAGAGGGTCTTAGGGTAAGGAAATGTCCGCCACGCTGACCCCAACTGCCCCACTGCGTATTGGCGAACTTCACATGTCTTCGAAATATATTTTTTTATTTATAAGACAGGCAGGTTTGTTTGTGTTTTCCTTCACCGCCGAGCACGTGGTAAATCAGCACTTAAAAATGCGATTAATAGTTTCATTTTAATTATTTCATTATTAACAAAAAATTAAAATTCATTGAATCTGATTATTAATTTCTCAGCAAACATTATTTGGATTAGTTATGGGTAATAAATATTATGTTTCTTTATCGATAATAGATTTATTTTATTTAAAAACAGAAATGATTGTAATCGCAATCGTAATTATCGATTAATAATAAGCGCAATAATCGTAATTGATAATCGTTTCAACACTAATATACACCAAAGGAAACAAGTTTCAATGTCCATAACTGACAATAAACTTTGTAAATTTGGCCTTGGTAGAAGAATGTTGATCATTAGTTTCATAGCACAAATGTTGGAGACCGCTACTTTAAATCGCCTCTCACGACACCTACATGACGAATTCACTTACCAAAACTTCATACGAAAGAAAAAAAAATAATGTCTTTTTATGGTATTTCACCGCCTCAGCCCCCCGTCCGGATATTTTACTAATAAGTAGATGGGATAGATTTACCACCATCTTTTAGAAGCCATGGGTTTATTCTGACGTTTCCCACAATCGAAGTCACCATTTTATAATTTATTTATGGCTTTATTGCGTATTATGCAAACTTACGTATTATTGCCGCTGCTTCTTACAGGGATAGACAGAAATCATCGAATTAAAGGAAACTATTTAAAGAGATTCACGCACTTTAAATAGTTTCCTTTAATTGTACTTTCATCAGCCTATTTCATCTATACTTAATCGCTAAGGGTACCTTAATCTATACTAGAATTATTTTCTCCGTGCAGTTTGGGTCTTAAATCATCGGAGTATTTCGCTCTTTCTCCCACTCACAGGCCTTAGGGGCGAGCATTGTGATGCGCATTATTGTTGTCGATAAGCATTATCGTATAAGTAATAATGGAAAACAAATGACTCATAACATAACAATGTCGCACCACACTTTGTATACCGCACCGCCGCCGTGTACCTGCCTTCATTTGTTGTTATCGATAATGGCGTTGCGCCCGCGCAACATGCTCACCGCCCTAGCCGGGCTGAGGCCGAGCTATGATTTTTGACCACAATTGCACGGATAAAATAATTTTACTATAGCTTTTGAGCTAATTGCGGCTTGAAATTGATTTTTGTTATACATTTTCAAATGACCCTTCACGCCCGCCTCATAATATGTCGCAGCTCGATGGTTTAATTGGTGCGTTAATTGGACGGCTAGTGCCTTTAGTTAAACGTCGATATTCAACTGAATGCTTAGTTTTTTAATCGAATTACAATAACCCGCGCCAAACCTTTGTAAATGGTTAGGCGCCGATACCTTTTAATTTGCTTAGTTATTCTGCCACTGCGGTGCTATCAGGGCTAGCAGTTTCTTACAAGATGGCGTCCATAATTGGTTTGGTATTCATTGCAAATTGTGTTTTTTGAAAATTAAATAACATGAAATTTGTTTATTCAAAAACATACAGGGTTATTTTTCAAAGAGTAGCCAAATTTTAAAATTCAGTTTAAATATATTAATAATTATATACCGTTATTGCAGTTTTTGAAAATACGAGTATTAGACTGTAATTTGAAATTATCCCAAATTGAATGTGTTTTATGGGCAACAACTTTTTTTCCTACAAACCTACCCTTACGAATGTGTGCGTGCGCAGTAAAATCAGTTAAAATAATGCATTACCACGCATTTTGAATTAAAAAGATAAAAAGGACAGAATTATTGAGATTTTTTTTAATTAATTTTTCTTCACCATTTGCCTATATTACTTATTCTGAACCTTTTCTGCAAATTTGGCCAGTCATTGCAAAATAACCCTGAATATTATGTAAATTAGACTGTAATTTGAAATTATCCCAAATTGAATGTGTTTTATGGGCAACAACTTTTTTTCCTACAAACCTACCCTTACGAATGTGTGCGTGCGCAGTAAAATCAGTTAAAATAATGCATTACCACGCATTTTGAATTAAAAAGATAAAAAGGACAGAATTATTGAGATTTTTTTAATTAATTTTTCTTCACCATTTGCCTATATTACTTATTCTGAACCTTTTCTGCAAATTTGGCCAGTCATTGCAAAATAACCCTGTATATTATGTAAATTTAGTATGTTTTTACATCAAGTGTAAAACACACACAATATGCCAATAAAATTATAAAATAAATAAATAACAAAAATTAAATCTTAATTATAATCCAATCTTGATGAAATTAATGACCCACATTAATTTGAATAATTTTCTGTGGTAGCTTACAAACTTTATAATAATTAGTTTTATTAGAGTAATTAAATTAATTATTTAAAATCAATTAAATTATTTAAAATTAATTAAATTGATTAGTAGAGTAATTAGTAGTATATTATTATAGTATCTCAGATAGTTGCCTTTTGTTTAACGCTTTGTTGACTAAAGGGCTATAACGTACGTGTACGTGGTAGAGCCATGCTGCAGCTATATTAGTAGTATAGTTGTAGCACGAATGGGTCGGCTCGACCGGGGAGGGACCACGCTCTCGCAGAATACCAGCGTGAAATAGCAGTTTAACACTGCTGTGTTTCGTATGGTGGGTGTAGAGAGCCGGAGACCCTTTTTACTGGAAAAGAGGCATTCCATCTTAGTCCTCACGGGTGACAACGCATCTACATTTTGATTCGCAAACGAGGATAGATGTAGATGTCTATGGGCCACAACAACCACTTACCATCAGGTGGACTGTGTGCTCGTTTGTCACCCTATCCTATAAAAAAAAAATAGAATGGGCTAGACGTCCAATAAACGAGCGATACTTCATTAACCCCCTTTCTTACATTTGTCTTAGTACCCTTTTCTTAATACTAAGTTCTAAAAACTACTCTTCTCATACTCATATTTTACATTAATAACCATTCCCTCATACTTTCCACTGAACCTTTCGGAACTAATAGTTGTCCTTGTCGACTTGTCGAAGATTTGAGGCTGTGATGGTGTTTCAGCGTGCTGCACATTTTCCCGTGGGACCGGTCAGTGGCGCCGTCTTGTAGATTCGTAAGGGTTGTCTCGTAACGTCGCTAACATGGCAACACCGGCCTTACGTAGAAATTCCGATACTCTTTACATATATCTCCAACTAATAAAAGTGCAGCTAATTTTTTGTAGAGACAAAAACGTCGTTTTTATAACGAGTTAACAATGCCTAAATTTAGTCTAAAAACTAAAAATTCTTTCTCAACCAAATCTTTAAATCATTTAAGTAGTAACATTCCTAATAATATTACTAAACTGTCAGATAACAATTAAAAAACAAATGTGGGTATCATTAATTAGAAGACATATTAATATATTTAATCAGAAATTGAATAAAATATTTTTACATGGTTGAATGGCATTACAACACATATTAACGACGTTAAAAAGACGGAAATTGAGTGATATATGCTTTACATTTTTTGAACGATACAAACCCTCTACTCCCGATCGGTTCAAAGCAATAATTAAAGACAAAATAATTATAAAAAAAAATATATGTAGAAAGGACCAGTATGTCACACGTTTAAGGAAAAAAATACTTTAACTACGCTGACGTCGGTTGCGTACGGTCGGTCACGTACGCGTACGTATCAAACTACGCGCCGCTGTCGTCAGCGTCGTAGTGTGGGGCTATATAAAACACTATGTACATTAGTACGCGCGACCGACGTACGCGACCGACGTCAGCGTAGGAGGAATTCAGGTCTTTCAGACCGAATTTCGGTCACGAGGGCCAGTCTAAATGGAGATGGCGCAGTACAGAATTATAGTGCCCGAATGTAAGCGCAAACACAGGTACACTCTCTATACCGCCACCTTTATAGTTCGTTGGAACGCTAATCTGATACGATTGGAAAGAAATCATGCGCAGGACCAAAAGCTTTAGTACTTTCCGAGATACGGGAGTGAAACACCGCCAAATGAATGCCTTATCCGGCATTTCTGATGATATTATCAAATTAGGTATTCCGTACCAAATTTCGGTCACGGTGGCCAGTCTTCAACGTAGGCTAGCAATCTGCGCAGGCACAGTATTGATAATATGAGACAAGCAAGCACAGGTGCACTCTCTGTTCCCTAAATCTCATAGTCCGATGGGACAGCAACTCTACACGACCGCAGAGAGATCAGACGCCGGAGCAATGGCTTAACGTGCTTTTATATGAAATGCCACCAACTTGCTGTCTCTGCGCTGGTACT